CAGACTGCGCTCTGGCACCAAGATGCAGAGCCAATATTAAGAAATGGGGCCACAAAGTGGAATCCACATGTGAGTGTGGTGAAGAGTAAACCACAGACCACCTACTTACAATGCAACCTGAGCCCTGCCACATGCACAATGGAGGACCGTCTTACAGCAACACCAGAGGCACTCCAAGGGGCCAGCTTCTGATCAAAGGGCATTTAGTATAATGCCAAGTTTTTAACCTTTGTGTTTTTTTAAAATACATTACACCTGTACCCTCGGTTTGCTTCTGATACGATAAATACTTGTCTACTAAAACTTCCCCACCCTTATATGCACATAAGTAAACTATTCTCCCCACCCTTGAGGACTAGACCCTTTTCAAAAAAAGAAGGATGAAAGTTCATCAGATTCTAATTTTTGTGCCAACTGCAAGAATCTGTGAGAAAAAAGAATGACCATTCTTATATTTCTTCATCCCCTTCCTACTCTCTACTGCCCTGACTTGCTTCTTCAAGCTGTCTTTTCCATCTTCATCTAATCTTTACTTTTTGTGCATCAAATCACTTAGGGGACTGTATCCCATTTTGTTGTCATTGATGCACTGACTCGGTTTTCATCTTGGAGAAAGTGAAAGAAGAAGAGGAGGAGGTGGAGGAGAGAAAGAAGAAACCTCTCTTCTTCTATTTCTTAGGGAAAGAGGTACTCCCAAGGAAGTTTTAAATACTGTTTTTAAATACCGATTTTAAATAGCTGCAAACCACACTCGGTGACTTAGCCAGTCATTCTAACCTCAGCTTAACCCATTTTATACTCCCTATTTTAGGGTTAGCAGAGTGAAAACTGGAGCAAGCTCCTGCACTTTTAAATTGTGGAGAAGCAGGAATTTCAACAAGTGTTAGCTGGCTACATGCCAAGCAACATCTGATAAAGTTTCATCTTCTACACACCCTTAAAGACACACAAATCTTCTCCATTTTTCAATCTGGGAATCTGAAATCCTTTCCATTATGTCAGAAGTGAACCAATGGTGCCTAAATAAATAAATAAAAAGTTCGGAGACAATATGAGTGGGGACTTCAGAGACACTTCAGAGGAGAGGAGATAAGGACAATGACCTATTGCTGTAATGATAGTGTGGTCCAGCAATAGGAAGAGACTAAGCCCAAGGGAGTTTTAAATACTGTTTATCAAATACCGATTTTAAATAGCTGTGAACCACACTCAGTGACTTTGCCAGTCATTCTAACCTCAGCCTAACCCAACTTACAGGTTTGTTGACAGGCTACATCACCTTGAGCATGCTGGAGTAACACTAGCATAAAAATGTAATTTTAAAAGGACCGGCAAGGCATCTGGCATTGTCTGTGAAAAGACTGGTTTGCGGTGGATACCTCACAAACAACCAATGCTTGGAATGTGGCTGTTCTTCCAAAACATGTAATATTTAAAGAAGGTATTCAGAGGAGGTATTAAAAATCTGATAAAACATTTTAATGTTAACACTGTTGGAAGGTAAACAACATATTTTTACTTTTCCAAAATATGTTTTTACATCTCAAGAATGTTGTTTTCTATCCTGTCTCCATATCCCACCTCATCCTTCAATAGAAAAATTATCCAAACAGAAAAATGTGTTCAGAGTTAGAGTGAAACCTGGCCAAGTTTCACTGTAAGGTCTGATTTTCTAATCTCATTGTAAAGCGTACATTTTGAATCAAATTTCAGAACTAAATTCAAAATGGAAAAAAAAATAGGATCCAATGAATTAGATGTCTCCCATGAGGAATATTTGGGGAGGGAAAAGGGGGGGAGGGAGAAAGAGGGAGGGGAAAATTGATAGGTATAGAATAGTAAAGGATAGAATGTAATCAATATGTGTCATATGGCGTAAAAATAATAATATATTGTCATGTAAATGCAATTGTTACAAATTACTTATATCTAACCAAAAAAGTAATATTTGGGCAGGTTGGTGCCAGAAAAGTCTTTTCAGGAGGGTTCATTACTGTCTACTTGTTAACAGATCAAGTACAGGTGAGCATCCATTATCAGGAATTCCAAAACTCAAAGTGCTCCAAAATTCAGTATTGTTCATAGGAACAGATAGTGACACCTTTGCTTTCTGATGGTTCAATTGTACACAAATTTTGTTGAAGCAGAAATTATTAAAACATTGTGTATAAAATTATTTTCAGGCTATGTCTATATGGTGCATGTGAAATAAAAATTAATTTTGTGTTTAGACTTGGATCCTAACTTCAAGATATCTCATTGTGCAAATACAGATGTTCCAAAAATTTTAAAAATCCAAAATGTTTCTTGTCCCAAGAATTTTGGATAAGAGATTTGTAATCAGTACAAACGACATTCTCATATCACAGTTCTCAACAAATAACTACAGTTAAAAAAACCCAAAAGACCAGACTTTCACTGAGCGTATGGATATGGACCTGCATCAATGCTGTTAGCCCTTATGGTTGAGATGCTACCATTTTAATTATTATTATTGTTGTTGTTTTTGTTGTTATTATGCTTTTTCTCTCTTAAAAGAAACTGAAAGGGGCTAATGATGTTAACAAAATCAAACAATGTGCAATTTAAATCAAAAACATATAATCATTGAAACAGACTGCAGGAGCAGAAGGAAAATTATGTGGTAATAGTGGCCAAAGAAGCAAAAGACACAACATGATGGCAAGAAGGTCATTCTCTAACAGGAACAAGCAATGTCAACAACCAAACCACTGCTGCTGACTCAGTGTCTTCCCTCTACTTTTACTGAACTCCATGGGCTGTTTCCCAACTGGGGACAAAAGCTTAGTGTAGAAAAAGGTATGTATGTAAACCATCCCATTTGGAGTGCCATGTCAGTATTTATTTTGCCACACAAAGCTGGCGTAATCAAAACAGAACACACCGCACAAAGGTAACAGAAGTTCAGCACTTCAAAAAGTTGGATTTTGAAACTTGGTCTCTAAATGAAACATCCTGCTGGAAGGAGGTGTACTTCATTATTTGCTTCTGCTGCCTTTCCAAGAGACTTCTGCAGCAGTTCATGGTATGAGAGGAAGAAGGTACTATACCACCTTATATTGTCTCCACACCACTTGGACCACAGGACGAGTCTGCTGAAAGAACCATGCTACTGACTGCAGACATTACTCCTGCGATGGCTCAATGGGTTAAACTCTTGTGCTGGCTAAATTGCTGACCTGAAGATCAGCAGTTCAAATCCATGAGACAAGATGAGCTCCCATCTATCAACTCCAGCTCATACAGTGACTTTAGAGAAGCCTCCCACAAGATGGTAACACATCCAGGCATCCCCTGGGCAACGTCTCTGCAGACAGCCAATTCTCTCACACAAGAAGCGACTTGCAGTTTCTCAAGTCATTTCTGACACGATAAAAAAAATTCTCCCTTGAAGAATATACACTTTTGGAGTCTACCTCAGTCACACTGAGGCTTCTACATACACAATGAAATACACTTATAAGCATATACTGAGTTCACTCAAATGGGCATAATGAGAAGCAAGAGGGAAATTTCAAAACACTCCAGAAAATCCAAAGTTTTGCAGAATAAGGAGATAAAATATTTAGAGGAGAACAAACTAAGCCCAGCCCCTAAAAAAGCTTAATGTACATCCAAAGCTACATATCTGATTATGAGGGGGAGCCGATAATAGAATGGAACATCTTGAAAGAAGACATGCCTAGCTGACTTGAACACTCAAGAGCAGCATTCACAACATTTCTGTGGCAGATTTCATTAGATATATCAGCAGATTCATTCTTATCCCATTCTTTCTCCAATGAGTTTTCCCTACATCCCCTTTTATTTATCTTCACAAAATCTATGTCAGATAGATTCGACTCAAAGATGGCAAATGGCTGAACACCAGATAATTAATTTCATGGCAAAGTGTTGGTTTGAACCTCAGTCTCATTAGTCCTAAACTGATATACTAACTACCAGACAAAGCTTTTCCATTTCAAGATATAGCTCACATATCCTCACAGCTATGAGGACTAAATCTAATTACAAGAGGACTGCTGATAAAATAAGGCCATACTGGTTATCAGAGGTCTCATACCAATCAGACCAGTGACAGAACTATAACAAAATGTTGCAGCATTCTAGTTGTCAAATGCACTCCTTGGAGAAGCTCTCCTATTGCCAATATTGAGATCTTTTCACTCCCAGGTGAACAACATTTTTCTAGACCAGTGATTTTCAACCTCCCTAATGCTGCAACCCCTTAATACAGTTCCTTATGTTGTGGTGATCCCCAAACCATAAAATTATTTTCATTGCTACTTCATAACTGTAATTTTGCTACTGTTATGAATTTCAATATAAATATCTGATATGCAGGATGTATTTTCATTCACTGGACCAAATTTGGCACAAATACACGATACGCCCAAATTTGAATACTGGTGGGGTTGAGTGGTTGATTTTGTCATTTGGGAGTTGTAATGCTGGGATTTGTAGTTCACCTAAGATAAGAAAAAGCATTCTGAACTCCACCAGCGATAGAATTGGGCCAAACTTCCCACACAGAACCCCCATGACCAACAGAAAATACTGTTTTCTGATAGTAATTGGCGACCCAGCTGACATCCCCTCATGATCCCCCCAGGAGTCCCAACCCCCAGGTTAATAAACACTGTTCTAGACTCATTAGTTTTAAGAATATGCTAAAGTATGCCTTTAAGAGTATGCTTAAATATAAATATTGTGTCAATGTGCTTTAAGAATGTGCTTAATTTAAGTGTGCCATAAAGGCCCTGGACAAACTCCCAAGGAAGTGAGTGCAAGTAATATAATAGATTTCTGCCCAGGACCCTGCAAAGGCACTGCCAACAAGTGTTAACCACACTGGGCTAGTTGAACAATTAGTCTGATCTAGTGCAAGGCTGCTGTGGCATTCCTATGTAGACCCCTTCCGTAAATGATGTGTCCATCCCGAAGTGGAGAACCCAACCACCTCCTTTAATCGTTCCTACCTCTCGGAGCTCAAGCCTCTGTGCCACAGCTTCCAGGCTTTCCTGCCCTGTGCTCTCCACCGATAGCGTAAACTCCACAAACTCATTGTTAAGCAGCTGGATACGGGCCACCAAGCAGCTCTTGCTAGACACTGTGTAGCGTCGAGTTCGTTTCAGTTTTAGCCCAAAAGGCAGAGGCATTTTTCTTCCCTAACACATTCACACGAAGTCACAGAAAAACATCCGGGAAGGTTTCCCGTCAACAGTCAGGAGCTGCAAAGTTCCCAGATGATCAACCGCCGGCGGCAGCCATGAAAAATTAGCAGGTTGTTCTCCAGGTCCTGTGCAATGCCAGCATCCACAGCAACCCTGCAAAGGAAAGGAAAGGAGTTAGGAACAGGAAACACAATCAGATTTTGATTATTCATATTGTCTGCTTACATTTGCCAAGTTTTACCTATAAAGTGCAATTTGATTGTTGGTTTTCTGCACAGAACATTTCATGTTACTTTCCATGCACCATCTCATGAACAGTTTACATGGTGGGTTGTCACTATTACAGTACTCATATATTACTAAGAAAATAGGATTTTAACTTCCATAATGTTATGAATAAGGCTGGATTTAAACAGGGTGCTTTCCAACTCATATTCTTAACTAGGATTTCCTAGGTCATAATGCTAAGCAGCGGGAGTATGGTATAACACTAAACATGTTGCAAAGACAAAACTGCAAATAAACAATGTTCTAGAAGACAGAACGATATGGAAACTGGAGACATTTACTTAGAGCAGGCAGGGGAATTAATGTACACTAGCTGACACATTCGGAAGAGATCACATTACTTCAATTCTTTCCATAGCATTCAAATACAACTTAATATCAAACAGCGTGTATGTAATATGATAAGTTAGAAAACAGAACTGTTAGGGATGTCTCTGTATCCTGCATTGGCACCACTCCCAGGATGGCAGTAAATATTCCTGGAAAAGGAGATACATCTGTTCCCTGGAACCTCTTGGCATTAAACAAGGCTAAACAGTTGTCCAGACATTCCACAATAGTCCTGCAATACAAATGCACTCTAAATAAGTCTTGGTCAACCACTCCTCCCCCCTCACACACACACATATACACAGTGTCCCAAACATACTATGTACCTAAAAAAAACCCAACAACAACAGAGAGCAATATCCTAACTAGTTTGTGACAGGGGGTGATTTCACCTGATCTGGACTTGAAAGGTTGCAACTTATCTTAGTTAACTTTATGAAATGACCAATGTTGTTTTTTCTTCCAGTGTTTGCTTTTGGAAAAAAAATCAAAACCCATTCCAGTCACATGGAAGCAAAGAACATCTAGTGATATTTCCTGCCAAGTGCAGCAGGATGTGTGGTTGGCAGGAAGCTGTGGCGAAAGCCTGCTACTTTCCACCAACCACCCTTCCTGAAAAACCATAGGAGTAATGCAATGCAACATTAGTTGATGTGGCATCTCTCCAAAGGCATTCTGGAAAGCTGTAGAACAAACTGTACATATTGTTAAGCAGAGTCTATCTATTTCAAAGTAAGTAAAATAAAAGTGTGTGTGTGTGTGTGTGTGAAAAGCCTCTTAATTCATTTATAGTATTGCTGTAACTCATTTGTTGCACTTACAAACTGACCTATTGTCCTTGGGGTAACACATGTATTCAAATAATATGACAAAAACCAAGAATGAAAATTAAAAAAAACCATTAAGATTTTAATTAAATTGAAAGCTGACATAAAACAGCACTTTAAAAATAATTGCCAGCTCCACTAAAATAAACTTTTGAGAAAAATATTTTTCCTTCCCAAAGATTTCATAGAGCTTTACTTTACCAATCTAACAGACATCAGAAAAAAATATTGATTGTAAAAAAATTGATCAGTCCTTCCACAGACAGATCCTTCCTTTCCAAACTTATTCTTTTTTTATGTACTATTAGCATGAGCAATAGCATGAATAATTTTCCAGTGTGCCTGAATTTTTTTTCATTTTCAAAGGAGAGCCAGTATGTGAAGTGGTTTAGGTATAGGAATGTGACTCTTGAGACCAGAGTTTGAATCCCTGCTTAAGAACAGAAGCCCATTTGGTGACTTTGAGTGGGTAACATCTTCTTAGCCTTCTGAACAAAACTTGCTAAGAAAACCCCGGCATACTACTTGAAAGAACACAACAATAACAAGCTGTATTTGCCTGTTACAAGAACAGCAAAGATTGTTTGACATCTTAAAGACTAACAAAAGTTATTATATCATGAGATAAGCATAGTTATCTGATATGGAGGACTGACAATTCAACTATGCCAAGGACCAATAATATATTTTTGCCTGGTGCGTACAGTAATTTCTCTATTTCTTGGAAGCTCTCTAGGGATTGGCAGCAGATAGGTCAGGGACTGGGACCAGTCCACAAAGCACTATTTTGAACAGATCAGATTTAGCAGGCTATTTCCTATGCCATCAAATTTTCAACAGGTATATAAGCTCACCAATGGCAATACCTTTCCACAGTAGTGGAACTGCATGAGGCCAGAGGCTATGCTGACAGCAGCACTGTTGCTGGTAAGGCCTCCCATGTTGAACAGGCTGAGGAGCCAGACTAAATGTTCCAAATGGCTACAGGGCAGGACCTTGCGGTAACACTTCTGGAGGATCTCTCAGAGACAATGGCAGTGGCACCATAGCTAACACTTTTTATTATTGCACAGAAGTAAACTCCTTCTGAATTATTTTTATTATGAAAACTTTATCAACAGACAATTTAACTTGAAACAAGAGTTAGTGCCAGAAGATGAAATTCATGGATCAGATAGCATTAATCAAACTACCAAGGTAGAGCAGAGGACAACCACAAGTAGAACTGTGGTTAATGACGCAACTGGACTCATGCTGAAACGATGTTCAGCTGTTGATGTGCTCAGAGGTGAAAGGAAATTCCAAAGCAGCACAACACATATTATAGGAAACAAGGAATGTGAGAAGCATGAATCAGGGGAAGGTAAACATAATAAAACAAGAAAATAAAACAAATATAAACATTGCATACTTGAGGTTAGCAAAATAACACAGAGAGGAATTTTGAGTCAAAAAGTTATACAGTGCTTTAAATTGCAAATGAAATGAAAATTGACTTGTTATTATAGATTCTCTGAGAGATTATCATATTCTTAAAAACTAAGATGATGCTCTTTCTTGAACATGATTAATCTTTAAGATTCAGCTCTTATTTTGTCATAATTTTTATCATTTCCAAGGACCTAATCCTTACATTGTGTAAGGTAGCATTCATGTCAGTAGTGAATATTTCAATCACCATGGCCCAGCCACATGTAGCCATGAATGCTCCTGCTTCCACATGAAGAAACAACCAGTGGTTGTGTATACAGCTCCCTCTCTCCATAAAGATTAATCCTTCCCATAGTTACCTGCATGTCTGGTATTGTGGGACTTCTACCCTTTAAAACTGGGACAGTGAACGTGTTGACTACTGGCAATATTGACTACAACTGATGCAAGCAGCAATCTAGAGAGCCATATGTTCGCCAGACCAGCTTTATAAAAGATGGAACAAAATGTGCTCTAGCCCTTTAGAAGCAAATGAAAAAACAAAATTAAACAGAAGCAGGAGACTTGGGAAGGGAAGAAGACCAGAGATTGCTCACTTCTTAAGACCATCCGTATGCCAAGCTGCCTGTGCCTGTATTTCTTCCCTCCATATTGCACAAATCATCTGTTGTGATCCCCTGCCATCACTCTGAAAATTGGTGCCACTGTCTCTTATACACAGAAGAATCCTGTGTGTCAGGCTTCCTCCCTCCAACTTCAACATCATCACAGACCTGTCACATTTTTCCTGCCAGTGGTCCTGTGACTTTGATAGCTGCATGGCAGGCAGCCATGCATCAGGTAAAACCTATTCCCTTGCATCATTACCTAAGCAAAGAAAAAATCCCCATTTTGAATTTTGGCAAACTGGGGTTCGGTGAAAGGCACAGGAGCCCTTGACAGAAAGATTGGAGGAAGTGCCTGGAAGTGTTTTCAAAGCTAAAATCTTCAGGAAAGATCTTCTGAACCATCCCAGCGGTGCCTGATGGGATCGCAAGTTTTTTTGGATAAGCACAAATGCAAATCTAATATTCTATGTGTTTCTTAACATGCATCTGCTTATATGTAGTAGCAGGTTTACAAAATGTATCTGGAAATCAATGACAGTGAATTACCTTAAATTAATTCCACACGGTTCTAAACCTCATGGCTGGAAAGATAGTCATTCTAAAGGCAGTGAAGTTGACAAATGTTTTCATGCAAATACATTCTGTCCTCCTTCTTAACCCCCTGAAACTACACAATACTGTCACACTTTACTCTGAAAACATATAGAACAGGATTACAAAAAACAACTAGAATTGGTGTCTCTATTGACAAAGCGCTGACCCTGCTAATGCTTCCATCCATAGCTCAGTTCAGTCCAGAGCAGCAACATTTACCGCTCTTCAGGAAGAAATTAGTGGTGGGTTTCAACCAGTGAATGTTTTTGGAATATTCATGGGCAAATACAATCCACTTCATCTTTAGAAATTTTGGGAGTCTAATGAGACTCCCAAAGTTAGGACTGCACCGGAGAGTTTTAGATACCAATTTACACACTCCACCCTGGAAAGAACAACAGCTACAATTTTGCGTACTGATAATATCTCTTTCATGCTGATCAAAAAATGGCTCCATCATTAGTGATAGTATTTCACAGTGTTACCAGCTTTAGCACACTCATGCCTTAGTCCTGACTGTTTTACATTTGGTGAAATACGCCATAAGCCCTCTTGCAGAAACATAGAAAGAAATCCAAAGTATTAAAGTTTGATCCAGTAAAAATACTGTATTAGAAAGAGAAACCTTTTACATGTCCATTTTTGAACTTTTGCCATTCCTTTCCAGAAATTAATTCTCATCCTCACTACAACACAAAACATGATATGCCTGCCTCAAAGTACATAACACAGGCAGTTTACTCATAAGTAGGTGTGTACATGATTTCAGGCTCAAAACAAACCTCATATGTGACATTTTAGAAACACTTACGTTCTACCTTTAATAATCAAGATACTATTATTTATTATTATTTATTTACCCTATTTATACCCTGCCTTTCTCAACTCCGTAAAAGTCTCAAGGCAGCTCACATATATAGGCAATGATTTGATGCCATGTAAACATTCATATATAATAAAATAAGCATATAAATTAAAGCAATCATTAAAAACATATCAAGCCTGAAAACAGCCTTAAAAGTACTTAATTTTGGCTAGATTGTGCCCATTAACAGATTCATTATTGGACTGACATCTTGTTCATTAATCCAAATAGAGGAAACCTATTCAATCTACTCTTTAGTGATGAGTCAACACATGGTTAAATCTAATGAATTCAGTAGGTCTATTCTAGTTAGGACTAAATGAGAATTCAGGCCTTAGATTCCCGGTTTCAGCATCATAATATTAAACTCTTGATAAATGCATACGCATATATTTGCTTTCCTGACATGTTTTTACTTTCTAGTTTTTTTCCCCTCAGGGTTCTTTAGTGAGAGTCTGGAACATAGGACCAACTCTCTTTGAAAACTACACATGCAGCATATATATTATGTCATATTTAAATCCATTTGTAAGAAGCCAATTAGAAAATGTCCGGGGGTGAAATAATGCTTCAAACCTATTCAACAAGTTTTCATGCTGGCCAAGCACAATTCTTGCAAACACAGCACAGTTTTGTTTAGCAGTTATTTTCTGCCAGCAGCTGCCATCCAGGTCCCCCACTCCGCCGCACACGCCTCTTTCAAAATAATGTCTATCCCTGCGATTAAGGGAGTTTGCAGCCGGTAAGAGGATAGTACTGAAGTGGCAAGAGTAGCAAATCCAATCAACTGCGTGTTGGAAACATAATTACCTATTTGGCACACCCAGAACTTTTTAGATGTTATGTTCTGATTTAGCCCTAGTCGTTTTAATACATGGAATATGCAATTGTCCCAATGTAGCTTCCACTAACTGTCTTCTCAGACTGCTCAGAAAAACGATATATTGCTATAATATAAGGGATGGAAACAATTGCTGTTCTCCATTCTTTGGGGTTTATAATTAAGACTTCACTGATCTGCTTCTTTTAAGGTAGGCACGAATAAACATTTGTGTTATCAATCAAGGCCTTTAAATGGCTCAGGGGAAATATTAATGCTTTTCCTTAATGCTTTGAGTCCTCTTGGGGAGAAAGACGGCATATAAACAAAGTGTTATTATTATTATTATTTATTCTTTTCTGGAAAGAAGAGTGGCCTTAAAAGGAAAAAAATATTCTGACCTGAACATTATTTAAATATTAATTGTCCCAATTACAAAGAGATATTCAAAATGTTTTGAATATTACATCCCATTTACAAGAGCTTTTAGCATCATAACTAATATCAAGTAGAGCATGCTGTAAAATATCCCCTGTAAAATATCTCTAAACCTATTCAAATCTTGATAAAGAATCTAAACAAAGACAGACTAATCTCTCTCTAAAGAGCTAAAGTCATCATTAGTTAGTTCGGGAGAGGGACAATGTTCTATACAGTTCAACCAAAGTCTAGCAATCAGAAATGAGCTGACTTGGAAGAATGGGATGCATCTATTCTACACTGTCGATTTAATGCAGTTTGATACCAGCTTAAGTGCCATGGCTCAAGGCTCCAGAATCCTGAGATTTGCAATTTGGCCCCAGTGCTCTTGAGAAGAAGGCTACAGATCTTGTAAACCAAAAGAAGCCAAATGATGAGGAAAAAGCCTAAATATATCTCCATCTGTTGTCTGTCTTGTCATTGAATGCCACATGTGTGTTCTGCGATCCACCCTGAGTCCCCTTCGGGGTGAGAAGGGTGGAATATAAGTATTGTAAATACATAAATAAATAAATAAATAACTCGCATTATTCCATAGTATTGAGCCATAGCAGTTAAAATGGTGTCAAACCGCAATCATTGGACAGTGTGGATGCACCCTAGAATAGGGGGAAGATGTGGACAAATCATCTTTTATCCCACATCACACAGCATACTGCAATTCCTTTTGCAGCTCCATATGTTACGGCGCTCCATGCAGTCATGCCAGCCCCATGACTGACCTTGGAGGTGTCTATGCAGGCTCTCTGGCTTAGAAATGGAGATGAGGATCAACCCTCAGAGTTGGACACGACTGGCCTTGTCAGGGGATGTTATCACCTACAAAGCCCTAATGGTTCAGGACCTGCCTATCTTTGCGATTGCATCTTCCCCTACAAACCTGCGTGGGCTCGAAGATCTTCTGGGAAGGCCCTTCTCTCTCTTCCACCTCCGTCACAAGCGTGGTTGGTGGGGACAAGGGAGAGGGCCTTCTCAATGGTGGCCCCCTGGCCCTGGAACTCTCTCCCAAGGGAGATTAGTCTGGCCATTAGTCTCCAGGTCAAGCCATGGCACCCACCCTGTCCACTTTTCTCAAAGACCTAAAAACATGGATGTTTTGCAAAGACCTAAAAACATGGAAGCATTTGACTAAACGGTTCATTCGATAATTCTGCCCTCTCAACCATACTTTAATTATTGGCCCCTGCACTTTACTACTGTCCCCTGTATATAGTATTCTGACTGATACTGCCCTTCCAGACCTAATTTACCATCTGGCTCCTGCACTTTTTCCAACTGCCATGCCCTTAAACTTTATTGCACAAGCCCCTCCCCGCCCATTTTTTAGCATCTGATTATTCTGTCAGGCTGCGTTGTTGTAGGTTTTTTGGGTTATATGTCCATGTTCTAGAAGCATTCTCTCCTGACGTTTCGCCTGCATCTATGGCAAGCAACCTCAGAGGTTATTTTATGTTGTTTATTATGCTGCTTTTATAGATTTGTGTTATGTTTTTATGTTTTAATCTATCTTTGCCTGGGCTAGTCACGTAAGCTGCCCTGAGCCCCTTTAGGGAGATGGTGGCAAGATATAAAAATAAAGTTTTCAATTATGTATTTATCGTATCAGGAGTGAACCAAGGGTACAGTTGTCATGCATTTTTTAAAAAACACAAAGTTTAAAAACTTGGCAATTATATTAAATGTCTTTTGACCAGTAGCTGTCCACTTGGAGTGCCTCTGGTGTTGCTATAAGGAGGACCTCCATTGTGCATATGGCAGGGCTCCGACTGCATTGTAAGTTATTATTATTATTATTAAAGATATGAATCATGTGGTTATTTCCATACTATGAGCCAGGCATGTAGGCGGGGGGGGGGGGGGGGGGGGGGGGCAGCCCCCCCCCCCCAAATTCTGCGAGAAGGCCTTACTGGTACATTATTTAAACTGTTACGTTTATTCATATCATGATCTGATCACCATACTCAATATATCCCATATGCATGGGGGTATTGGGGTAACGATACAAAAGGTTTGCTAGGGTAGACACTCTTTCACTCAGACTCAGCCCCCCCCCCCCCCGAAACAAAATCCTGGCTATGGGCTTGCTATGAGCTGTCAACTAGAAGCAATGGGTTAAACCACTGAGCTGCTGAACTTGCTGACCGAAAGGTCGCAGGTTTGAATCCGGGTAGTGGCATGAGCTCCCACTGTTCGCCTTAGATTCTGACAACCTAGCAGTTTGAAAACATGCAAATATGAGTAGATCAATAGGTACCGCTCCAGCCATATTGATCTACTCACTGAACATGAACACGGATATAATTCCACTGGACAAAGAGTTGAAGGAGGAGGGCAAAGAGGAGGGAATGAAAAGGAGGTGACGCTTTGTTGTAACGATGCTCTGTGCCAGAGGTCCTCAAACTTCTTAAACAGAGGGCCAGGTCATAGTCCCTCAAACTGTTGGAGGGCAGGATTTTAATTTGAAAAAAACATGAATGAATGCACACTGCACATAGCTTATTTGTAGTGCAAATGACACTTAAAAACAATACAATAATTAAAATGCAGAACAATTTTAACAAATATAAACTTAATAGTATTTCAATGGGAAGTGTGGGCCTCCTTTTTGCTGATGAGATAGGATTGTTGTTGTGTGTTTTCAAGTCGTTTCAGACTTAGGCTGACCCTGAGCGAGGGCTGGGTAAATGAGGACCCCTGCTCTATGCAGTCATGCCGGCCACATGACCTTGGAGGTGTCTACGGACAATGCTGGCTCTTCAGCTTAGAAACTGAGATGAGCACCAACCCTCAGAGTTGGACACGACTGGACTTAATGTCAGGGGAAAACCTTTACCTTTACCTATGAGCTCTCAAGACAATGCCAGCCAGACAAGCCCACCTGCTTGTAGGGATGCAGTGGTTCTCAACCTGGGATCCCCAGATGTTTTTTGCCTACAACTCCCAGAAATCCGAGCCAGTTGACCAGCTGTTAGGATTTCTAGGAGTTGAAAGCCAAAAACATCTGGGGACCCCAGGTTGAGAACTATTGGACTAGAGAGAGATCCCTGATTGGCCCCTTTTCTGGTAGACACGGCTCCTATATTTCAGAACTAGTGGGGAAATAAGATCTGGAAATACATAAAAGGTATTTATTGAAAGGAAATTTATAAACAATTCCTTCCCGTTTCAGAAATGACCACACAAAGGGTGTGTTTACACTACAGAATTCATGCAGTTTGGCCCCACTTTAACTGCCAGGGATCAATGTTATGGCAGAACGGGAGCTGTACCTTCATAAGGTCTTTATCCTTGTCTGCCCAAGAGTGCTGGAGCTCCACCAAACTCCCAGGTTTCAGTAGCCTTGAGCCAGGGCAGTTAAGTGGCTCCAAACTACAGTGTGGAAGCCCCCAAAGACAAGCACAGGCCACGTCAGTTTCGCTTTGTGTTTACCTGTTGCCGTCCTCCAAGGCAATCCAAGGGACTCCTTTGGCGCAGCTTGGGGCGCTCTCCAGGTCAAGCCATGTCATGGCTCTCAGGGGGCGGGGAAGGCGGGTAGGGGGCCAGAAAGGAGCCCTTCGGAAGCCCCCTTGTTTCGTTTCCCCCCCTGGACTCCTGCCGTGGCTTCTCCTTCTTCTCAGCAGGCAAGCATTCCTCTCTTCCTGCGGCAACAACAACAACAGGAGGAAAAACCGAACGTGTGGACGGAGATCATTCCAGTGGGGAAAGAGTCAGAGTCAGAGGAAGGAAGGGGAAGGAGGAGGAGGCGACGCTTTGTTGTGACAGAAAAAGGCGAGCGGCTCAAGGCGCAACCAGGCACGCTCGGACCGCCTCTCCAGCTCGTCGCAGGGTTTCTTCTCCTTCTTTCTTTCTTCCTCCTCTTCTCCTCTTTCTCTCTCTTTCTCTCTCTCTCTCCCCCTTGAGAGGCGTTCCCCTGGGCTCCAGCCATGCGGAAGGATACGGGGCGAGGGAAGCCAAGGACTGCCCTCTCTGTTTGCAGCGCCATGACCTCAGAGGTCTGGAATGCCTGGCAGCGGGAATGTCAGCAATGGGACAGCTGCGGACAGAGCCAGAGCCAGAGCCAGGCCAGGAAGAGGCAAGCATGGCAGCAGCAGCAGCAAGGGAAAGGGAAAGGGAAAGGGAAGGCACAACAACCCTCCGGCCTTTTCAAAACCCTCCTTGGGTTATTTTCTAAATACAATTGTTGGCGAGGTGGCTACTTCTTTAGCTCTGTGGCGCGCCTTCAAAGGCTTCTCTGAACTTTGCCAGGTCTAAAGGAGTGACTTGAAGAAACTTTTTTTCCATTCGCGACCCCTTTCCACCTGTGGCAGGCAGGGCCGTAGCCAGAAAAGAAATTCGGGGAAGGATGAAAATTTCTGGGGGGGGGGGGAGGTTTTGAAAATTTCTGGGGGGGGGGGGGGTTTTGAAAATTTGGGGGGGGGGAATTTCGGGGGGGGGTTGAAAATTTCAGGGGGGGGTTGAAACCTGCCTCCTAGCTCACACTGAAGCAAAGAGCACAGCAGGGGGCAGAGCAGCCTTCAATAGCCTGCAGCTCCGCCCCTGTCAACCACCTCCACCAAGTCTGGCCTCCTTAATGAGAGCATTCAACACCCCCCCCCCCAACTTGGTTGCTTCGCTACATCGGCTATTGCTGCAAGTAATGACAGTGTGAATAAATTGTCAATATTTGCTTGAGATAGTGCTTGCAGTTCTGGAGGGACTCTTAATTTTTTGCATCTCATAGACTTAGCATGGGGATTTGGTTAACCAGTTAAAATTCATGAGTAAACCAGGTTTTTTTTTAACCTGAAAAATTTTCGGGGGGGGTTGACCCCTAAACCCCCCCCCCTCGCTACAGGCCTGGTGGCAGGCATATGTAGCGGGGGGGGGGCGCTTGAGGGGCTTCAGCCCCCCCCCCCCGAAATTCTCAGGGTGGTCCGCAAGAAGGCCTTACTGGTATTATTATCTATATAAATAAAAATGTAATGTTCGTTTGTGGGATTAACATAACTCAAAAACCACTGGACGAATTGACACCAATTTTGGACACAATACACCTAACAGTCCAATGTATGTCCTTCACTCAAAAAAAATGATTTTGTCATTTGGGAGTTGTAGTTTCTGGAATTTGTCGTTTATGTACAATCAAAGAGCATACGTCCCAGAAGCACTTTATTAGAACTTAAGACCCTGCACATTGCACTTGCCCAGAACTCCAACATACCACCTCACACACCCAGCACTTTTAACTTGTACCCTTCGTTGGCCCGGCCCTGGTTTTATTGCGTAATAGTGTAATGTTTTGTTGTTGTTATTGCTTATGTTTTTAATTTGCTTGTATTATATTGTTATTGTCTGTTGTTGTTGTTGAGGCCTTGGCCTTTGTAAGCCGCATTGAGTCTTCGGGAGATGCTAGTGGGATACAAATAAAGTTTAATAAATAATAATAATTCTGAACCCCACCAACGATGGAATTGAACCAAACTTGGCACACAGTTCTCCCATGACCAACAGAAAATACCGGAGGGGTTTGGTGGGCAGTGTCCTTTGGTTTTGGAGTTGTAGTTCACCTACTTCCAGAGAGCACTGTGGACTCAAACAATGATGGATCTGGACCAAAATCTACGCAAATCCTCAATATGCCCAAATGTGAACACTGGTGGAGTTTGGGGAAAATAGAATCTTGACATTTGCGATTTGTAGTTCACATACAATCACAGAGCATTCCGAACCCCACCAATGATAGAATTGGGCCAAAACTCCCACACAGAACAGCCATGTGGGCCACAGCAACGCATGGCAGGGGACGGCTAGTAATAAATAATAATAAACTTTATACCCTGCCACCATCTCCCCAGTGGGGACTCGGAGCAGCTTACATATACAATATATTGCAGCAAAATAGAAGCAAAGCATAAACAACAAACATCATCATCAAAATTACATAGAAAAAAAACTACAACATAGTCATAAAATAACATTCCAATAAACACAATCACGATAACAATGGGCAGGCCACATGTACAAGATAAAACAATTAAAATCTAATGAGATAAAAAATAGAAACAGGTTATTTGCAGGGAACTCATAAAAACAAGCAGAGTTGTGAAGCTAAACTTCCCATTTGGAGGGCGTGTACGCCAGTGACAAAAGCGTTGAGGGGTGCAGTAATGTCATGCTGTGCACCTACTTGCCAAAGGCTCAGCAGAAGAGCTAGGTTTTAAGGTTCTTTTTGAATGTTTCTAGTGAAGGGGCTTTCCTGATCTCTCCAGGTAATAAGTTCCAAAGTCGGGGAGCCACAGAGGAGAAGGCTCTCTCCCTTGTGCCCACAAGACGAGCTTGTGAGATTGGTAGGGGTGAAAGGAGGGCCTCCCCCGAAGATCGAAGGGCCCGGGTTGGTACGTGGAGAGAGATACGGTCATGAAGATAGGGGGGTCCCAAACCGTTTAGGGCATTGTAGGTGATAACCTGTACCTTGAATTGGGACCAGAAAATAAACAGCAGCCAGTGGAGCTCCTTAAACATGGGAGTCGACCACTCCCTATAGCTAGCCCCAGTTATTAATCTGGCTGCCGAACGTTGGACAAGTTGTAGTTTCTGGGCTGTCTTCAAGGGCAGCCCCACGTAGAGTACATTATTTGGTACATTAAGGTACATTATTTAAACCATTACATTTATTCATATCATGATCTGATCACCATGCTCAGTATATCCCATATGCATGGGGGTATTGGGATAATGATCCAAAAGGTTTGCTAGGGTAGATCTTCAGGTGTCGTGTCCCCCCCCCCCCCGGAATCAAACTCAAACTCAACCCCCCCCCCCCAAATCAAAATCCTGGCTATGGGCCTGACCTGTGGAATTTATATCTATATCTATCTATATAAATAAAAATGTGGGAATAACATAATTCAAAAACCACTGGATGGATTGACATGAAATTTGGACACTACACCCCTAACCCAATCTTGATAAAATAGTGAAGAGTAGAGACAAAACACTGGCAACAAAGATCCACATAGTAAAAGCAATGTTATTCCCCATAGTAACCTATGGATGTGAGAGCTGGACCATAAGGAAGACTAAGCGAAGGAAGATAGATGGTTTTGAACTGTGCCCAGACACAACAACAATACATCCATAGTAACAAAATTTGGCAACCCAACATATAAAAACAAATTATGACTTTAACAATTTAAATTAAATAAAAGCGCAGCCTGTTATATAAGACAAAACATCAAACATTGAACAGAAGGGTTGTTGTAGGTTTTTTTCGGGCTATATGGCCATTGTCTAGAGGCATTCTCTCCTGACATTTTGCCTGCATCTATGGCAAGCATCCTCAGAGGTAAAGAGGTCATCCTCACTACCTCTGAGGATGCTTGCCATAGATGCAGGCAAAACATCAGGAGAGAATGCCTCTAGACCATGGCCATATAGCCCAAAAAAAGCCTACAACAACCCAGTGATTCCGGCCATGAAAGCCTTCGACAATACATTGAACAGAAGCATTCAATTTCTCAGTTCCTAGAGGGCAAATAGATTGATTGTATTTGCTCAAGATATCTATAGATCTGGTGGGGCTCTTCATGCATAATAATAATAATAATAATAATAATAATAATAATAATAATAATTCGCTTTATCTCCCTGGAGGGACTAAGAGTGGATTACAGTATACATATAAGGCAAACATGCAATGCTTTTTATGCAATGAACAACAACATACAATACACAGACAAGGTAAATGCCTTCCCCATTTCATCTCTGGCACCTGGAGGCGATGCTCAACTCTGGCCATGGGGAGGTGCTCTTGTTCCATTTTTCCATGTCAAGGAGCCTGCTGTCCATAGCCATCTCTGATCTTGTTGCCTGCGTGTCTGCATGGGGCACCCTTTTATCTTCCCGTTGAAGTGGTACCTACTGATCTACTTGCATTGCATACTTTGGCAGAAGCTAGGGCCAACAGTCGGGAGCTTACCCCAAGTTGCAGCTTTGAACTACTAAGCCTCCGGCCAGCAACCTTTCCTGCAGCTAGCTGTGGAAGCTTGCAAGTGAGTCAAGAGCAGACTTTTGGATCTTAGATTTTCATAATTTGACTCTTGCAGCACAGACAACTTGTTCCCCATCACTAATTCCATGTGAGTATGGAATCATGGCACCATATCTTCGCATTTTGATTAATCCTATCCAGAAGAGAGCTTTGGTGACTGCAAGATGTTACCATCAGCTCTTTTGAATGGGAGATCTCTATCATAGGTTATCACGCGTGGCCGAGTATGACTACCTTCCAAGTATAGGGCTGATTTGGGATGGCTTTAAACAATTGATTTTAAAGTGGAGATAACTGATTTTAGAGTTTTTGTATATGTATAGTTTGTTTTATGTTCCAAAATTGAATGTTTGCCGTATATATGTTGTGCTCTGCCCTGAGTCCCCCTTGGGGTGAGAAGGGTGGAATATAAATGCTTTAAATAAATAAATAAATAAATAAATAAGGTATTGGTAGTGGATCTGCAGGTGACTAATCTTGATCCACATGTTCTTTTGCAGTGAGGACATCAATTTTCAGGTGGAAGGTGGTCCCAACAGGTTGGCTTGATGCCCCTTCTTCTTGACACATTTCTTGACACGCTTTTGCCCTTCATTCGTTCCTCTTCAAATTCCATGGGAGATATAAAAATATGGAACGTTCCCAAAGGATTTAGTCTTGTGACTTGGTCTGTGTTGCAACACTTCACCATTCTTTGTTTGTTTGTCCCAAATATGAGAATATTGGGATGAAATAAAGCTACCTATCTGACCGCATCTCTGCCTATGAACCCACCAGGAGTTTGAGATCTTCCGGGGAGACCCTGCTCTCGATCCCGCCTGCTTCTCAAGCTCGGCTGGCGGGGACGAGAGATAGGGCCTTCTCGGTGGTGGCTCCTCGGCTGTGGAACGCCCTTCCTACGGACATTAGACTAGCACCATCTCTAATGGTATTCCGCAAAAAAGGTGAAGACCTGGATGTTTGTGCAG